TATATATATATATATGTATTTGTATGAAATTCTGAACCAGTTTTTCACATTCTCCTTACTGATGAAATATGTTTGTATTGAAAAAATAATAAAAATACATTTCTAAAGAGTATAATTAATACCTGAAACCATTGGTACTTGGTGATTCTCCATAATTCCAGAATTAAGGAAAACAAAGCCAATTGGATGTTTTACAAATATTTAACTTATTACGACCATGGTCTGCAAATAAAAGCATTAATCAACTACCTGATGATACTTTTACTGGTGAAATCATGGTTTAAAGAGTACTAAAGCCTGTATTAAAAAACTCTGAAATTTGAAAAAACATTGACATAATAATGTATATGTACTTTTTAGTAAAACCCTTCTTTATATATATTTATTACAGGATCATGCTAAATACTAGAATGTACTTACATCATAAGCTCCAGCCTTAATCTGTGCATATAACCTATGTTGATCTTCATCCCAGAAAGGAGGATAGCCTACTAGCAATATGTACAGTATTACCCCTAAAAGACATGAGGAGAACAAATATAGCTTCAGTTGTTACAAATTATAGTAAAGTTTTAAAATTACTAATAAAATATTGGAATTGCAACAACAATCTTAAAAGGCTTAAAAGAAAAACAACTACTGCTTTTTAATTTTCATACATTTCCTATGGACAGAAACTATTAAAGTATTTGAGAAATAAAGAAACAAAAATAAACAACTAAATTCATTTATTCCACAAGAAAAATTTGAATTTGGATTTATCTTGATTTTGTCCCAAACCCCAACAACCAAAGGTTAGCCAATTTTGATGCAGAATTTTAGGACATTTGTGAATAAATTTTTGTTTTACTTAGTATGTTCACTTTTGTTTGTGTTTCATTTGCTGTATTTATTTTAAGTTGTTCTCTGCAATACATTTCCAAAATCTGGGTTCTTGTGGATGCTACAGATTTATCCGTTGGATATCAGTAAACTTAGATAAAATACTAAATACTGGGAAAACAGGAAGATAATTAATCACCAGACTTTAGGAACAAAAACACAGTCCAGCCATTGTTTATGAATAATATCCCTGTAAATGTCAAAATTTTGACATAATCAACAATGTCAGTATTTTGAACTCAGAAAAAAAACAATGCTATGCAAAAAATCAAATGACCACTTTTGATAAAACAATTTTGACCAAGTATCAACCAATATTCTGGATCAACCCTCTATTGAAGAATGGAACTAGTCTAACACCAAAGACCAGCCTTGGGTAACTTCTTTATTCACTCTTTCTAGTTGAATTATTTTTGTTTTTTTTTAACATTTATCAACTTAAGCCTGTTTTTTTACAGCAAAAAATTTAAATAATGATTAATTAAATTTTTAAAAAAATTTATTATGACAAAATTTAAATTTTAGTTGTTAAAATTAATATTAGTTACTACATAAAACCATTAACGTTTCAATCATCAATAAGGATATGCTTCCCTTCAAGTGGCTGAAAAGCATCTTTGTTTATTTATTATTAGTTAGATGGGTTTTTTTCAGCTGTTCACTGTTAGCTGGCTGTTTTATTGTATGTTTATATTTTTTATTAATGTTTTGTTATAACCTGTTTGCCTGATAATGCTGAGTTAACTCAATGAAATGTACAAAATAAATTTATTTCCCTTAACCCTCAACTTTACCATTTTTAACTTTCAGTTTATTGTACGTGGTATCTTTTGTATTTGACATTAATTAATAAATATTGTCCCTTAACATACACATCCAGGCAACTACCTTAAGAGGTTGATTATTTACAAGAACAAGACATTGTACACAAATTCAAAACACCACTTATCTAATTAAAATAAAAACAAAAAATAATTAAGTAAATTACAATATTTATATATATATATATAAA